TCCAATAACTCTATTTTATTTATTTATTTACTTATTTATTTTTATGTGATGCTGAGAATCGAACTCAGTGCCTCACTCTGCTAGGCAAGTGCTCTACCACTGAGCTACAACCCCAGCCCTGGAAGGCAGCATTTTTATTTGATGTTCTGAAGATCATGAAAGTCTACTGATAACCAAACAAGTTAAATCAGTTTTTCAGATCTAATCTGGGTCTCATTAGAAACCAATTTCAAGTAGACTACCCCTCCCATTTCTCTAGTTAAATATGACAATGAACTAGAATTGCCATTGAGCTGCAGTTGATTTTGTCAAAGACTGCATGTGTTAAATATTTGAACTGTGACTAAGAAAACTTAAGTCAGAAACAGATGTAGTTATTTAAAGATTTGTAGCTGCTGGGTATGGTGACACATGCCTATAATCCCAGCAACTCTGGGAGCTGAGGCAGGAAAATCACAAGTTCAAGGCCAGCCTCAGCAGCTTAGCAAGGCCCTAAGCAACTTAGTGAGACCCAGTCTCAAAATAAAATATAAAATGGGCTGGGGATGTATCTCAGTAATGAAAGTGCTCCTGGGTTCAATCCCCAGTACCAAAAATTTAAGAATTAAGAAAAAAATAATTTTGTAGCATACACCCTAGCTGTGATCATAGCACTATAGTCTGAATTATCTTGTTAGTTGCAATGTGCTGAGTTTGAAATTTCAGGTTCTGAGGCAGAGATAAATAGTTCCATGTACACCCATGGATGGGAGCCCACATTATGGGGGAAGGCTTTGAGCCAGTTTATTATACCTTTAGTACCTAGGTGAACATCTCATTATAATCTGACAAAAACAAAATATTTTCCCTCCTTTAATCAAGGTAAAACAGGTCAGAGTATATCTTCAGCCACTTTTCAGCTTGACATTGTCATTGGTTTCGATAATGGAAGAGCATTTTCAGACTGAGCTCAGTTGTTCGCTGTGACTGTTGTCTTCAGGCTTTCATCTGACCTGGGCCATGAGCTGCAGCCTATTGACTTGCATGTTGGGCTCCTGTGTCACCCTGGCTCCAGGAATCATTCCTGCCAGGAAGCTGACTGCAGGAACCAGGGAACAGTGTGATAAGACGCTGTGATGGGGAAAGAGAACTAAAAGGAAGGTGAACAAAAGGACCCAGAAGGTGCTTGGTCCTTCACACAGAGCCTAATGCTGCCACCTAGTGGGAAAAATGCGGAAAAGAGCACATTGGAAGGAATGCTGTGAGGACCACAACACATCAGAACCTTAAGCAAACACTAACCGTATAAAATGCTGCTTAAAAATCTAAACCTAATTTAAACAACAATTCCAGGAGCACAGATGTCTCTATATTAAGACTAGACAGTAAATTGGAAAGTACTTTTAAAAATGATTTTAGATATATACTGAGGAGTGGGATAACTGGATCAAATGGTGGTTCCTTAAAGTGGGGGAGGTGGGAGGAAGAGTAGAAGTTCACATTTCATAGGGCAGTTCAGCTCACCCTAAGGAGGATCTTGCTGAAGGTTGGAGTTCTCTGGATTTGAGTGTTCTGTTGGAAGTATACACACTGAAAGGCAAGGCCTAGGGATTAAACATGTGTAGGATCTTGACCAAGTGTTCTTTGGAATTCTTCAGACTGAGATTTGACTGAGACTTCAGGCTGGATATGCAAATCCCAGCACCGGCTGTGCAGAGGTGGGGGTTCCTCTCTGAGCATCCTACTTCCCAGAGCTGCTGTTCTGAATGTTAAATGAGTTAACATACAGAAAGCATCTGGGATATATTTATGTATATCTCAGGGTGAGTTATTTGCTTCCAAAGATACAATTCTTCAGCATCACCTGAACTGGAGAGCTCTAGGTTTTTTCAAGTATCTGTGTAAACTGTTGAAGGAAAAGTATGTGTTTATATTCTTTTCCTCTTTTGTGGCTATTCTTTCTTTCTTTCCTTCTTTCTTCCTTCCCTCCCTTCCTTCCTTTCTCTAAGGATTGAACCCATAGGCACTTCCACTGAGTACATCTCCATTCCTTTTGATTTTGAGACAGGATATGGTAGGTTGCTTAGGGCCTTTCTCAGTTGGTGAGTCTGGCCTTAAACTTGCAATCCTCCTGCCTTAGCCTCTCTAGTTGCTGGGATGATGGGCATGTGACTCTGTACCTGGCTTATTTTTCCTTTCTTTAAAAAAAAAAAAAACAACTTGGTTCTTAGGATTTTATTTCTCTCATATCACTGAGCTTTATTTAAAAAATCCTAACTACTGTCATTGCCCATTCACTGGTTCTTATACTGTGTTAGATGTCTTTGATGTCTTTGATAGGCTGTGTTAGAATCATCTTTCTCCTAGTATTGTATGACCACAATGGCATCTATCTTCACTTCCTTTTCTTCCTAAATTTTCTGTGCTGCTCCATGAAGTATTTTATTGCTTTTAGATCTCAGTTGGTTCTCACTGTGAGCAGCCTGGTGCCATTGGGATGTCTTTTTTGTTGTTGTTTTTTCCCTTTTTTTTTTTTAACCTTTGTTTTATTTTTATGTGATGCCAGGGATCAAACCCAGTGCCTCATGCATGCTAAGCAAGCACTCTACCCCTGAGCCACAACCCCCGCCCTGGGATATCTTTTGAATGAAAAAAAAATCTAATGTCCTATCTGGTGCCTGAAAATAAGGATGGTTTTGAAAGGAAAATTCAGGCTGCACAACTGTTATCCCAGCTACTTGAGAGGCTGAGGCATGAGGATCACAAGTTCAAGGATAGCCTGAACAATTTAGCAAAATCCTGTCTCAGAATTAAAAAAAGGCAGGGGCGGGGGGGGGGGGGGGGGGGCAGGGGGAAGGCAAAGTGGGGGTTCAGTGCCCTTTTTTACAAAATTAAAAATGAAAACAAGACAAGGGGGCTGGGGATGTCGCTCAAGCGGTAGCGCGCTCGCCTGGCATGCGTGCGGCCTGGGTTCGATCCTCAGCACCACATAAAAAAACAAAGATGTTGTGTCCGCCGAGAACTAAAAAATAAATATTAAAAAACAAAACAAAAAAAAAATAAGGAAAGCTCAGGCTTTCTCTTTGCTTTATGCCAAGACATGAAGCCATAGATTACCACCTAGCAGGGAGAACCAGGGAAGGGAAGCAAGCGGGCAGGAGAGCGCTAGACCCAGTGGGGTGTGTGCTTTGGAAAAGTTCACTTTCAGGACAGACTCGTGACTTTGTAAGATGAAGAAAGCTGGTAAGAGGTGTTGCTACTGGAAGCCAAGCAATGCCAGGTGTAGTGGCCGGGGTCCAGCATGCAGGAAGTTCAGCAGCTGGCTGAGGGCACCCGTGGAGAAGGCAGCTGAAGAGAGTGAGAGGGAGGCAAAGTCAGTCCAGAGGGGTGAGCCAAGCAGCCTCCAGAGCTGAATCCCTGGTCCCCATCACTTCAGCTTCCACAACTGACAACTTATGGCCGGTCTCATTTCATCTATGCCTCCACCTACTGCCCTCCCTCAAATGATTTCTGAGCAAACCTCTGAGCTTCTTTACTACCAGGAAAAACTTTCAGATGGAAGTTAAAGCCAAATTCTTTGTTAATTAGTACTTCAGTTCGTGAACCATTTCTTAAAACAAGGTTTATGTGAAGGCTATTGTTGTCCCATAGCATTATTAAACCACACAGAATTGAAATATGTGCCAAAACAGAGGGAGTCCCTGCCACCCTAATTGTTAGTCCCGTCACCCCTTGCCTTGACAAGTGTGATGGAAGACTGGCTGCACTGTCTACAGGGAGTTGTGACAGACTTATCCTTCGTTCCTCTGAGGTTGGCTTCAATTTTAAAAATTGTTGACTGCGGTTGGTTCAAAAGCAATTGAGTTTTAATTATAATGTGAAGCTGAAAGCTTGCCTTATCACTGCTTTCCATGTTCTTGTACATTATTCTTTTCTCTTTTTTAAAAAATGTTTTTACTTGTAATTGGACATAATGCCTTTATTTTATTCATTTTTATGTGGTGCTGAAGATCGAACCCAGCACCCTGCACGTGCTAGGCAAGCGCTTTACCACTCAGCCCCAGCCCCTGCATTATTCTTTTCAACAAGCTTATCATACTGTTTGTAAAAGGAAGAACCTCGGGATCAGATCACAGGTCCTGACCCATTCCCAGAGTAGAATCTCTGGATAGAGCCTGGAAATCTGATTATTTGAGACACCAAAGTTTTTATTTGAGTACCTGTTCCTCTCTAGAATGTTATTTTCCTTGACATCATTTGCCAGTGTTCACACCTGCAAGTGTATTCTTTGCCCCTCCTTCTCTTACTAGGCAGACTTAACATCTAATCTGATCTGTGGCTCCATTCCTTAGCAAGTGCCCTTCCTCAAAGGAATATCAATATTTAGTATTGGTGTTCTAAATCAGTGGGGCTTAGTGTATAACCAACAAGAAGGACACAATGCTCTTAATTTTTTTCTTGCTCACATCTTGGAGGTAGGGTAAGGGATGGTTTGTGTTCAGCTAAAGTTCCACAGGTGATTTTTTTTTTTTTTAATGGTGCTAAAAAGAGAACCCAGAGCCTTGCATATGCTAGACAAATGTTCTACCACTAAGCAATAACCCAGCCCTCTACAGATGATTTTTATATAAAGACTTTAAGGAAGTGTATGTGTGTTGTTTTGTTGTTTGTTTGGTACTGAGGATTTAACCCAGGGTACCCTGCTACTAAGCTATACCAGCAAGCCCCACACCCCACCTCCAGCCCAGTTTTTTTTTTTTTTTTGCTGGAAATACTAACTAAGTTGCCCATGGTTGCCTTGAACTTGTGATCTCCTACCCTCTTCCTCTAAATTGCTGGGATTACAGGAATGCAACATGGTGTCTGGTTTATATTTTTAAATATATATTTGATGGCTTTGATATTTATCCTGCTATTCTGTATTTGCACCAACTTGAAGTAGAATGTTTTTCTCAGAAACATCCTTAATAAGCCAATTTAATATACATTTTAATATTAATTGAGATTTTACTTTCTTATAGGTGTCCTCTTTAAGAAATGAAAAGCGAGGCTCATCCTATCTCATCTCTGCTCCAGAAGGTGGCGCAGTAGAATTAGTTGACCAGCATTCTCAGGGCACAGGAGCATACTACATGGAAACCTACTTAAAAAAGAAGCGAGTATACTAAGTTTTCTCCTTACAGCCTCCTGAGATTCTCTGCAGTATCTCTGCTGTTCATCGCTGCCTTAACTTCATTCAAACTAGCCATATCCTATAAATACGGGTTTATTGTTTCCCAGAAGGAACTGTGTTGTGCAGCAGGCAGAATTGCCAAATAAAAAATGGTAGCAATAAGAAGAGACATCAATTGAGGACATTTTCCACTAGAATTAATACTTCTTAATCAACGTGACATTAACTTACTGTCCATTGGAGAAACTAATCATGTTTCAACGTTCCTTGTTTGAGGAATGGGAATAATTTTCACATCACATATAAAAGTCTGAAGCAATAAATGGGAAACAATCTTGTTTCCTTAGCCTTAGAATGAATTTCTTATAAGCCAATGTGCATTTTAATTTACTTCCCCTAGAAGTAATCTCATTTATAGATTTTTAGGACTTTTCCTAGAACTACAAGGGTGCAAGTACCAAACGTGCTGATGGCCATGCTATAAAGACGCTCTTTATGCAAATTTCATTATCACCCCCACACCAGCCATGCACTATTAAACCCAACAACAGAATGATAATGAAGTCCAAGGCATACAATACTGCAGATGCTTGACTTTTAACGTGTTGTTACTATTTATACCTTTTGTAAAAACCAGAAGATAGCTTAGATTAAAAAAAAAACTTTGTGGTGACCTAACACAGGGGTTAGCAAACTACCCTAGGACCAGATTCAGTCCACCACCTATCTTTGTGCTGTCTGCAAGGTTAAGAATGACATTTTACATTTTTAAGTGTTTGAAGGCGGGGGATGAAAACTTGCTACATGAAATTCAATTATCAGTGTCTACAAAATTTTATTGGACCACAGCCATACTCACTCATTCACGTATCATCTATAGCTACTTTTGTAACCTTGGTAGAACTGAGTAGCTTCAACAGAGACCATATAGCCTGCAAAGCCTAAAACATTTACTATCAGGCCCTTCACGGTGTTTCTGACACTGACCCAATAGCACTAATTCCCCATTCCTTTTATTTCGCCTAAAGAAAGAGCTTTAACCTATGAGATAGACTTGTAAGTGACAAGAACATAGGTTTCTGTGTCTCATTTCATAGCATAGACTAGTGATGATCTAATTACTAGACAGGGTCATTTTTGTCATCAAATGCCCTATATTTCCACAATAGAGTAAAGCAGTCAATGCTGCACTCTGAAAGTCTTACGGGGACATAGTATTTATAACCATTTGAGCTAATAAGCTATACCTCACTCTCTGGTTTGTCTCTCATTCTTTGGTAGTATATTATGCTGAAAAATATGAGTGATTTTACCAACTATACTTCTGAAAAGAATTTTTGTCTTTATTAATGTGACTTTTGACATCACCATTTTCTGAAGACTGTGGTACTAAATGCATGAAAAACCTTTTGCCATTTAGAAATTTCTAAGTCTGTTCATTGTTATGACTATAACTGATTGAATTTGAGATCTCAAGGATTTTAGTCTTTCAGATCATATCCTTAAAATATGTCTTTTGAAGAACTTGTTTTTGACTAAGATATAGATATCTTGCTTTAATTATAAAGTCTAGAACTGGTTCATATGTTGTATGCTTTGTAAAGAATTTTACTTGGTCTAATTTATTGCATTCACTAGCTTCTGCTGGAAAATTATGGCTGGAAAGTTAAACTAAGACAGTTGCTAAGAAATATACTACCTATAAATCACAATCAGGATTACATCAGTTATGTGGCAGATGACTAATGGCATCTCCATGTCCTGTACGTCTCCTTCTGATTTTCCTATTGTATTTTGCCTCTTCAGCGCTTAGTCACACTTCTATTGAAGTTAAGAACAGAAGACAGGGAAGATGGTGAATTTTACATGAGTTACAAAGTGAGAAGAGGCACAGATTGGAAGAACTAAAAAATGTTTTGGCTCACAGCACATGCAGATTTGCCATCCATACTGGCCTGTGGCCCGTTTTCATCAGACATAACAGAAGTGCAGCTCAAGTGGTGTTAGTACTAAGTCATTACCAACCCTCCCCCCTCAGAATCTATACTGTTATTTTTCTATGTAAGTGAATTGTTTGAAATGCTTCAAAAATGAAAATATTAAAACGCATATGCATGTAAAGTCTTTAGTACATTTATTTGTATAAAGAGTAAACAAAGTGCATACAGAGCGGCCACAGGTTTGACACAGAGATACAGGGCAACTGAACAAATTTAAATGTCAAGTTTATTGTTGCCACTAAAGCAATCCTGAACTTTCTTTGGGCTCAAAAGATGTAAAGTAAGATACTGAAGAATACTAGACATCATTAACAGAAAAGTTTTTCAGACTCTTGGTCGTAAAGAACTTTATGTTTCACATTAAATCAGACACTAACATTTTTAATTACCCAGCTACCTCCAAGCAAACTGAAAACCATCTAAATGTATCCTGAACTCCAGAGTGTCTCTAGACGGGTCTTTTCTTTCAAGTTTTGCACCATAAGATGATGGTCACAATAGTGATTGACCCTTGTAGATGGGTGGTAAGTATTGAAACACTCTTAAGAACAGTGCAATGTATGTGGTATACATTCTGTTCATATACAGCATCCAAAACCAATGTTGGAACAGCTTGCCCCAAAGTGGTAGAGTTATAAAAGGATATGCGCTGATGTTTCTTAAAAGCATGTCTAATAGCATCCAGGTTTGCAAAGTCTGTCTGATAAAAGTTGACTGCTTAGGAAAGCACTGGCCCAGGCTTAGTTCTCAAGAAATAATAACATGCAGCAGAGTATCTATTTCCACACTGGCTCCTGTGCAGAACCAGGTTGCTCAACAATGGGTACCCAGTAGTCAATCAAGGGACCAGCAACTGAGCCACTGAAAAAACAGCTTGATATTTCAGTCTTACTGGTGACAGGAATACCTACTTTTTTTTTTTTTGTAAGGAAACAATAGTATACTAACTGGTATCTACTATTTTAAGAATGCTTGGTCTATCACTGTCTAGATATTGAAATCTGAGGGTATGTTAAGAGTATCACCTAAGTCCATCAATTTTTGTCTAAGATTAATGTGCCAGAAAAACATTTCAGATCAGCTGGCAGCTGGGAACAGCAATCATCTTGAGACATCACTTTGGTCAGTTCCTCTTATTTTCACAAATCCCATTTTGGTATGTAATTATGACAGTAAACTAGCTAGATGAAACAGTGAGTGGGACATTCTTTCCAAAGGGAGGAGTGCTTAAGTGCTTTCTAGGTATCTTTGTTGTCATTTGTCACTAAGTTTGAGAGAGGCTGAATTGAAAAGAAGTTTTTATCCATGCTGAGCACCACAGTGTGCTGTACACATGTGCACGTGCTCAAGGACTTGTTGACTATATTTTGTTAGAACATAAACTTTTTCCATAAAAAATTTTTTAAAAAACGGCTTGGGTATTTGTTGGGGGACGATTACTTTATCAACAAACAGTGGAATTTAGATGATATTCATGCTTCGTATTTTAAAAGTGCTTCAAATCCTTCAATAAGGCTCTGAAAGGTTGTCCGATTGGATGG